GCGGGGGGGGGTGTTTATCGTATTATCGTGGGTCTGTTTGTATACGGGGTACAGTTTTCGACACTTGCTGGATCTAAGGGGGAGCCAGTGAATTCAAAGTTAGTCACAAGACACGTAGGGGGTAATGAAACAACTATGAAAGTGACAGGGTTGTAGGGGGCGGGGGCGGGGGTAATAGCGATAATAAATCTTTAGAGAGAGAAATTTCGAGCAAAGTGCAAACGTACCTTCGCCGTTTCTGTACTCCAGGGTGTCGCAGTCGCTCGGCTGCTTCTTGTTGCACTCGTCCGAGGCCCTGCTGCAACGAAATCGCACGAATCAGTCGAATTGCGCAGAGCGACGAGAGAAGCGGCTCTTCGCGCACGTGTTCGGTACACGATGGCTCGCGTTACGACGTGAGACGTACATTTTCTAGTATTGAAAATGATTCAATTACCTTCTAAGGATCAGAACGGTCATGATGATGATAATCACGAGGAGTACGACCACGGCGACGATCGCCCCTGCAATTATCCTAACTTGCATGTTGTCGTCCTCGCCGACGTAGTCTGCGTGAAACGCTCGTGTTAGATAGGCGAGATACGGTAAGGGGGCTTGCGAAATGCGAATCTAAATACCGCTGAGCGCGCTTACCTGGGCCCATGGCGTGGAGTGTCTTTTTAAATATCACCGGCGTGTACTCGCCCCAGCCGCGGGTGGTCTTGGCGCGAACCTGTATCGCGTAATCCGTGAAAGGCTTGAGACCTTTGAACGTGGCGGACAGCTCGGACGTTGGAATGACGGTTGCATTAGTGGCGTCGTCGTAGCGCGGGTAACACTTGACTGTACCAGATACATCGAGACGATTATTAATCCTCCCGCCGCCACCGCGCGCGATCGAGCGACAATTTGGAATCGATCTCGCCGTGCAACGGCGTAGCGACGCAACGCGTTGTCGCGGCTCTTTGGCTCCTTACCTTCGTATCGTTCGACAAGATCGTTGTCCCCGCCGGTCCCGATGTCCGGCGCGTCCCAGCTGATGCTGAGCTCCGAGCTCTTGACACTCGTGATTCTGACGTTGCTCACTAGACTCGGCACGCTCGCCTCCGTCGTAACGGTGATGTCCACGTATTCCGACTTGCCGACCAACGACGATACGCCGTTCTCGGCGAACACTTGGAAGCGATAAGTAGTCACCGCGTTCAGGCCGGTTATCGTGATCTTCGTGTCGTTGAAGACCTCCTGTCGCAAAATTCGAAGCGGAGCCGTGCGTCAATTTTTCAATCGAGGAATAATAGACTCTCGACTACCGCGCAATCTGCATACTCGCGTATAATATACGGCTTGCGGAGGAAACTCACGATATTGGGAATGTATTTGACGCCCATGCTGCAGGAATCGCAGTCCACTCTGTAAGTTGTGTCGAACCTGCCACCCTGCATATGCGGCGCGTTCCAGGAAAGGATCACTGTGGACTGATCGACGAAGTTGACTGTCAGGTTTTGCGGCGCCGAAGGTGGTTCTGCAAGAAGTATATTCTTCATCAAGATTTTCGTGGAACGCCGTCCTCCAAATTCTCTCCCGTCTTCCGCATGCGCCAAACTTTTCATTGCGGGCAATATATCACACCCCACAAATATTACGTCGAACAGTTGAAGCAACACAAGTATATAAGTTACAAAATTTAGTGAAGGCACCCGAGGGACCCCTTCTTTGAAATTTCTGGATTTTACGACTGTTTGGACAATTAAACTGACTGATTTGAACTTTCTAAATTTTAAAATAAAACAACGACGTTTTCTGGAAGTAAAATTTAGCTGGATCAATACTCACGTGTGCAAGGCATCTTCTTAGGGTCCTTTTCCGCCCGATAATAGCCCGGATCGCAACGACACTCCGTGAAGCCGTAATCGGAGGCTTTGCTGTGCTCCGGGCACGGCTCGCAGGCTTGAGAGCCTGCCTCGTACTTGAACTTGCCTATCGGACACTCCTTGCACTCCTGCTTGTCCACGTCAGCCTGGTAGCCGGGCTTGCAGTGGCACCCGCCCGCCGGGAGGTACCACTTGCCGTCTCCCTTGCAGAGGGAAGTCGGCTGGATGATTTTGACGGCATTCGCGACGCAAATGCCGCGCGTTTGCTCGATAAGCGCGACCTCGCGACCGGTCGGCGTGGCCGGGAAATGGGCGAAGTTCACCGCGATCTCGGGACAACTGATGTAGTACACCTTGATGGCAAGGATCGATATGCAGGCGCCCTGGTCACGAAAAGCGAAGTAGACGCCCTTCTTCGTCACCGGGATAGACTTCACCTCGGTGTTTATCATCACCTCGGTGTTCGTGTTGAACCTACCCTCACCCGCGGCTATCCGACCTGTAAATATGTCAAATCGGTATGAGAAGCCGCCCTAGATACTGAGCTCGAGGATGGGGTCTGGAAAATATGGAATCTATTAATTATGTAAGGTTCAAACTTTTCTATCTTCTAAAATGTCCTCGGTATTTTCTATTCTTAATATCTTTTAAAGGAATGCAAGCTTCTTGATTTGTCATTCACGAAATAATTTCATTATCCTATTTCCGAGGTGAATCCCTTAATTGCCACTGCTTTGATCTGCATCATCGCTCACCGATAAGTTTGTAACTGTCCGGCTCCCACGGGGGTGGCTCCTTGGTGGCGGCGTCGAACTCGTAGTAAAGTAGACTGAAGGTCTCCTTACAACTGAGTGCGTTCCCGGGAAACAGCGAACAGTCGCGGGTCGTGAAATTGATTTCTATGTACATGCGGTTCGCCGGACCCCTCTCTATGAACGGCGTCCACAGCCAATTGTTTACGTTGGTGTACGCTACGTCACACACAACATAACTCCGCCAATTGATACCCTTGTCGAAGTTTGTGAAAGACTCCTCCACCCACTGTGGAACAGATTGCAAAGAAAAAAAAGTTACGTTAGGACGTGTCCAGGGGAATCCTAATGTTTTTTTTTTTGCTATTCTAGTTCTTAGCTGAAGTTAATGAGACCAGCGTGGACAATCGGTGTACGAAAACGGAAATCCTTCTTCGAAGGTTTCGAGATAGCGATCGCGTTTCGTGCAGGGAGGAGGCATCCGGCACTTAAAATCTGCGATGCTAACCCAATTTTACGTGTTACCACCAACCGCGACGAAAGCGAGAAAGCACCACCCGCTGTCGTCATTGTCGTCGTCGGCCGACATTGGCCGTAGAATCCTCCCTCGGTAAATGACGAGGCGGAGAGGCCAGGTCGTCGACTTGCGACAAACAGACCGCAAGGAATTACCGGCGCGCGTTACCATTAGTTTTATTGCCCCCCTCGGCTCTCGGGCTCGTCCCAAGAGCGACCGCAAAAAGTTCCGACCAGGGCAAGAAGGATCCATCGTCGTCGTCCTCGCCGTGGAACCCTTCTCTCTCTCTCTCTCTCTCTCTCTCTCCCCTTGTCTTTCGTTCGTCCTCTCTTTCTCCTCTCTCCCCCGCCACAGTCGCTCTCCTCTCCTCGCCGCTCTTTTTTTTTTACGCGCCTCTCCGCTCCCGCGTATTTCATACTCGGACCAGGAAAGACTCGGCAGGTAAGGAGTGACAAAAAACGGTAGACCGAGGTAGAGCTCGTGAGCCTCTTATCCAGAAGATTTCCTCGCGGACGTGTTTCCGGCAGGCGGGCTGCAATAAATTCAGCCGCGCCGGCTACCCGGTCGCAAAAGGGAGATTATTACGGGGACGATGACGAGGTCGAAAAAATTTCATTAAAGCGCTGCCGGCGAAAAAAAGCTTTTTCAGCGGTCCGCGCGCCCGGGAGTACCAGCGGCCCTGGAACCACGGAGGTGCAGTCCCGCAATTCGCCGTCGTCCGCGCATCGAATTACGATCCGGTACCCTTCGCACGCCTCCGATCGCAATTAATAGTTTTTAGCGAGGTTTGCGAAACTGGATTCGCGCCGCTTTTAAAGTAAGCACACGGCGCGCTCTTTCACGATAGAATGTACTCCCGCTCGCTCGCAGGTGTAATTGGATTAATGGATATCGCCGCTTTATACGCGGATCGAGGATGAGAATTCAAATCTGCTGCGCGTCCTCTTTCGCCCTAGTTTCCCGCAGGATAGTTGTTTTCCCTACTTCTCTGCCCCGATCGATGTTGTCGCGTTTCGCCCCCCGGAATTATTAGAGAGAAACGAGAAAATGTGCCACTATATCGTCGCCGTCGCGTATTTATTTCGACGCCTCCGCTGAGGTTCTTTATCGCCCGGGAAATTTCATTAGGACGGCAAAATTCATCCTCCCTTTCGGCCGCTTCGCAGCCCGTGTCTATGCCCGCCGCTTTCATCCCCGCTGCAAGCTGCGAGGGAAAGACGGAGTCGTTAGCGCCGCGCGGCATTTAATTGGATCGCGCCGAGAATCGTCCTCGTTTTAATGCGCCGCGTCGATTTTTTCGGCGAGACGGATCTTCCGCTGGCGTGAAATTACTTATCAGAATTGAGAAAAAAGGCGATTAGCCACCGCATTATAATCCCATTACAATCTCGTGGTATCGTTTCAGTCGATCTTGCGTTACAGGCACACTTCGAAACAGGTAGTGAAACATTTCAACTCGCTTCGGCCATAAGGCCGGAAGAGAGGAAATAATCGCCACTTGTTTGAAATTTACGTCGCAAGCAAGATATGCAGTGTAGAAAATAATTATAACAGATCTCGCCATTTGTCTGCGACAACTCTTCATATTATTAGCAAATTATGGACTAGTAGAGTAACACAGTCCCTCAAATGTACAAGTTGGGGTCAGAGCACACAGCAACGTACTAGCTTACGACAAAGTCGCAAGCGTAAACGTAGTTCACGCACAAGCGTAGTTGCGCTATCTACGTTTACGCTTGCGTCTCTGTCGTAAGCTATTACGTTGCTTTGTCCTCTGACCCTTACTCGGAATATCCGAGTATTGTGCGCATCCGCACAATCGAGCGATGATCGTTCGATGCCGATGAAAACTGTGCCGTGGTTAGCGTCTGTGTGGTCAAGTATCGATCGCGCGCTCTCGCCTCGCCGTCTCGCAGCAGGTAGACGTGTCTCGCTATTTTCCGCATTGGCGGCGAGAGAGCACGCAGCGAGAGGCGGCACGTGAAAACCACCAACTCGGTTTTTCCTCGCCCCTACCTCCCGGGAGGTACCGCCGGAAGATGAATTGCAAAATTGTATTAAGGCATGACACTCCAGTTTTCGCACGTATCCTTCGCATCGAGATAATAGTCGCCCGAGTCTCTACACCATCCTTTGTTAAGTGAGATCGTAGCAAATATCCTCGTCCCGGTCAACTTTTACTATAACTAGCTATTCGTCCTGTTTTCCTTTCATGGTTGGACATCTATAATTTGCTCGAGTAAAAGCGACGCTGACAAAAAGGCAGCACACTTTCGGAGCCATATGGTTGGCGCGGTCCAAGTTACCTGCGAGCTACCCTACGGTGCTTTCGCTATTGTCCTTAAGAAAGAAAAAGACGTTTGTCGGCCCTTTCTCGTAGATCGAATCGTGACGAGTAAATAAATACCAGCCGATGGCGAGAAGTGAAGTCAATAAGCTCAAAATATATGTGCGCGCGCCATCGAGGCGAGCGGAAAAAGAGGAGAGCTAGAGACAGACGTAGGACGCTGCCACCCTCGCGGATGGGGCAACTGCCCCTACGCCGCAGTAATATCGCCACCATAATCGCAATTCCGACAGCGTAGCCGTCGGATAGGGAGGATAGCGAGAGTCCGTAGGAAGACTTGCACGAGCGAGGAGGGGAGCGCTACGAACTTTTAGTCCGAGGGGTTCGCGAATCTTAATATATATTGAGCTCTCTCCTGCCGGAGGGGGGTTAACCCTCACCCTCTTGGCTTGCATCGGCAGGCACGTAGGGCTCTCTCTCCTCCGTCGAGGTACGTGCATCCGGCACTACGGACCGCTCTCGCGACGAACACGTACCGCATCCAGACGCGATCGAACTTTCCCCCCCTCCCCCCCCGTTCTTCTTACCATCACTTAACCGACACCTACGGGAGAAACGAACGCTAATTGCGTTCACGATGAAATTACGAGGAATAAAAGATTGTTATTAGGCAGCTTCGAACTGTATTTAATATTAATTAAAATTAACACTTTCAATATATATCGGTATTAGATGTATAAAGTAGAGAGAGAGAATGTGTGCGTTATGTATGTATATGTGAACAATACCATTGTAATTAGAACTCGAAAGACACGAGTAATTTCGAGAGATAAGTAGATAAGCGTGTGGAAGTAAATTTATGGTAGTGAAGCACTTCGTCAATTATCCTCTCGTAGGAAGTTCATTACTTCGAGCACGGTCCGACTCGTGAAATGGTCGTCGCTTTAAATACAATGGTACTGATATCGTCCGCGATATAATACAGCGTCCGGATGAGGGTAGTTCGTCCATTACGGGCGAACAAGTGCACATATGTGTATCCCCGGGCAGAGTGGGCGACCATCCCTCGGACAGGGGTGGTTACGCCACGCGCCAATCGAAAACTTTATGTAACCGTTTATTCCGCGCACCCCAAAGCCGATATAACCGTATTTCGGGACGAAAGATTGGCAGGAAGGCCGTTTAAGGAGCATTTCCACGGCTCCTCCATGCTTAACCGAGATTCCTTTCTCTCTTCTTCTTTCTCCCCCCCCCCCTCTCTCTCTCTCTCTCTCTCTCTCTCTCTCGTATGTACATCAACATGTGCGAATATGCACGCATGCGAGGGGAGAGAAGATCGTCGGCGAAATAAGGAGCCCGGGGGTGAGAAGGAAGGTGTCGGGTGAGAATTTATTTCTGGATTATTCGAGCCAGGGAAATGCTTGTGGGGTGCGGATCTTCTTTCCAGAAAAGGACAAATCGCTCTCCTCCGCGGGATCGAAACGCTGCTGGGAGAAGCAATTTCCAGCCGCGAGATTTACGACGCAAAGATCGACTCCACGTTTCTCGTGGGGGAAGGAGAGCGCAAAATTCGGCTGCGCCGCCGATATCCGATGTTTCTATTTGCCGGGCGGGTCTGAATTGTGCCGGGGATGATACGGCGTCTTCGCGAAGGAAAAGAAAAGAAGATCCGTCCTTCCGAATGATCATCTTCTCGATACAGGCAATATAATCGAAGAAGACATCCTAGCGACAATACTTGATTTATGTACATTAAACGATATACGCTCTTTCGGGAATTCGTGATCATTCATCACGGAATCACGTTTGGATGTTTACACGAAGAATCCGCTTCGCGCTATGACGTGACATTATGATACTTACAATTAATGGCCGCGTGTTATGGCAGCTTCATTAAGTTTCCCGACGTGCCGGGAATATCTGCCTAGGATTCAAGATTATTTTAGAGAAACAGGTTTCCGAGCGTGCCCGTCTTTCTTTTTTTGTCGAAATCCGTCGTCGATGGGCCGCTCGCTACTTGTCGGACGGCCGACGACGGATCGTGTGTCTTACGATAACCACCCATCCGTAATGAGCTTAACCGTCGTCGTAATATTTCGAGTTAGCGCGGCGCACGTCGTCAGCGTCGCGTGTCAGGGGGGGCTGAACGCCCCTGACGAGACAGCGCACGTCATGCGGTAACGAGAAGGGCCGTACGGGGCCACGTGGACTGAATCACACAAGCTTGAATTTCCCCGCAAGTCTCTACGCTCCGAGATTCATTCGGAGATTGTAGCTGCACGATTCAGTCCTACGGACCTCGCGAATGTGAAAAGGATAAAAAACATTTTTAAGAGCCACTTTCTTCATATGGCTAACACGGCGCGTTGAAAAGTGGAGCAATACATTTCAGTTTGCCTCGGAATTGCGAAGTCCGAGGGGTAAACCGCTGACCAAAATCTTGTACACCAATGCCCACTAATGCCCAGTGGGCGTCACTTTATCT